TAACCAACTGAGCCACCCAGGTGCCCCCCCTGCAAGAAATATTAAAGGGGACTCTTTGAGTGGGAAAGAAAGACCAAAAGTAACAAAGACCAGAAAGGAACAGAGACAATCTACAGGAAAAGCGACCTTACGGGTAATACAATGGCACTAAATTCATATCTATCAATAATCACTCTGAGTGTAAATGGACTAAATGCTCCAATCAAAAGACATAGGGTATCAGAATGGATAAAAACAAAAACAAGACCCATCTATATGCTACCTACAAGAGACTCATTTTAGACGTAAAGACACCTGCAGATTGAAAGTGAAGGGATAGAGAACCATGCTAGTGGATGTCCAGGAAAACTGGAGTAGCCATACTTATATCAGACAAACTATATTTGTGTGTGGGTGTTTAGAATGAAACTTCTTTTAAAATTTAAATTAGCCAACATAACTAACCAACATCATTTTTTTTCAAAGATTTTATTTATTTGTCAGAGAGAGAGAGAGAGAGTGCACATAAACAGGGGAAGGGGCAGGCAGAGCAGGCAGAGGGAGAAGCAGGCTCCCCGCTGAGCAGGGAGCCCGATGCGGGACTTGATCCCAGGACCCTGGGATCATGACCTGAGCCGAAGGCAGACACTTAACCGACTGAGCCACCCAGGCGTCCCCAACATCATTAGTTTTTGATACAATGTTCAATGATTCATTAGTTGCATAGAACACCTAGTGCTCATCACATCACATGCCGATTAATGCCCATCAAACAAACTATATTTTAAACAAAAGACTGTAATAAGAGATGGAAGTGGGCACTTTATCACAATAAAGGGGTCTATCCAACAAGAAGATCTAACAATTGTAAATATTTATGCCCCCAACTTGGGAGCACCCAGATATATAAATCAATTAGTAACAACATGAACAAACTCATTGATAACAATACAGCAATAGTAGGGGACTATAACACCCCACTCACAGCAATGGACAGATCATCTACATAGAAAATCAACAAGGCAGCAAGGGCTTTGAATGACATCATGGACCAGATGGACTTAACAGATCCATTCAGAACACTACATCCTGAAGCAGCGGAATACAGATTCTTTCCAGTGCACATGGAAGATTCTCCAGAATAGATCACATACTGGGTCACAAATCAGGCCTCAAAAAGTACAAAAAGATTGAGATCATACCATGCATATTTTCAGACCACAATACTATGAAACGTGAAGTCAACCATAAGAAAAAAATTAGAAAGACCACAAATACGTGGAGGTTAAAGAATATCCTACTGAAGAATGAATGGGTTAACCAGGAAATTAAAGAAGAAATACAAAAAATACATGGAAGCAAATGATAATGAAAACATGATGGTTCAAAACCTTTGAGATGCAGCAAAAGCGGTCATAAGAGGGAAATACATAGCAGTACAGGCCTACCTCAACAATCAGGGAGAGTCTCAAATACACAACCTAATCTTACACCTAAAGGGGCCAGAAAAGGAACAGCAAATGAAGCCTAAAGCCAGCAGAAGAAGGGTAATAATAAAACTAAGAGCAGAAATGAATGATAGAGAAACATAGAAGCAAACAAAAAAAACCAGATCAATGAAACTAGGAGCTGGTTCTTTGAAGAATTAACAGAATTAGTAAGCCCCTAGCCAGACTTATCAAAAATAAAAGAGAAAGGATCCAAATAAATGGAATCATGAATAAAAGAGATCACAATCAACACCACAAAAATACAAACAATTATAAGTGAATATTATGAGCACTTATATGCCAACAAATTAGGCAATCTGGAAGAAATGGATACATTCCTAGAAACATATAAATTACAAAGCCGAAACAGGAAGAAATAGAAAATTTGAACAGACCCATAACCAGCAAAGAAATTGAATCAGTAATAAAAAAATCTCCCAACAGGGGCACCTGGTTGGCTCAGTCAGTTAAGTGTCAGACTCTTGATTTCAGCTCAGGTAACGATCTCAGGGTTGGGAGATCGAGCCTTGCATTGGGCTCTGCACTGGGTGTGGAGACTGCTCAAGGTTCTCTCCCTCCCTTTCCCTCTGCTCCTCCCCTCTCCCTCTCAAATAAATGAATAAATAGATAAGTAGATAAATAAATAATAAAATAATTTTAAAAAATCTCCCAACAAAGAAAAGTCCAGGGCTAGGTGGCTTCCCAGGGGAATTCTACCAAACATTTAAAGAAGAGTTAATGCTGTTCTTTTCAAAGTGTTCCAAAAAATAGAAATGGAAGGAAAACTTCCAAACTCATTCTATGAGATCAGCATTACCTTGATTCCAAAACCAAAGACCTCACTAAAAAGAATTACAGGGCAATGTCCCTGATGAACATCGATGAAGAAATTCTCAACAAGTTACTAGCAAATCGAATTCAATAGTACATTAAAAGAATTATTCACCATGATCAAGTGGGATTTATTCCTGGGCTGCAAGGGTGGTTCAGTATTCACAAATCAATCAACATGATACACCACATTAATAAAAGAAAGGATAAGAACCATATGATCCTCTCAATAGATGCAGAAGAAGCATTTCACAAAGTACAGCACCCATTTTTTTTTTCCTTTTTTGGAAAAAATTTTTTAAAGATTTATTTATTTTAGAGAGACAGCATGAGTGGGGGAAGGAGCAGAGACAGAGGGAGAGAATCTCAAGCAGACTTCCAGCTGAGCATAGAGCCCAATGAGGAGCTTGATCCCACAATCCTGAGATCACAACTTGAGCTGAAATCAAGAGTTGGATGCTCAGCCGAGCCACCGAGACACCCCAGTACACACACATTCTTGATAAAAACCTCAACAAAGTTGGCATAGAGGGAACATACCTCAACATCATAAGGCCATATATGAAAGACCCAAGCTACTATCATCTTGACTCAATGGGGAAAAACTGAGAGCTTTTCCTCTATGGTCAGGAACAAGACAGGGATGTCCACTCTTAGCATTGTTATTTGACCTAATATTGGAAGTCCTAGCCTCAGCAATCAACAAAAAGAAATAAAAGGCAGCCAAATTGGCAAGGAAGAAGTCAAACTTTCACTATTCACAAACGACATGATACTCTAGAAAACCCAAAGACTCCACGAAAAAGTTGCTAGAACTGATACAGGAATTCAGCAAAATTGCAGGATATAAAATCAATGCACAGAAGTCTGTTGCATTTCTATACAACAATGATGAAGCAGCGGAAAGAGAAATCAAGGAATCGATCCCATTTACAATTGCACCAAAAACCATAAGCTATCTAGGAACAAACCTAACCAAAGAGGTAAAAGATCTGTACTCTGAAGACTATAGAACATTTATGAAAGAAATAGAAGATGACACAAAGAAATGGAAAAGCATTCCATACTCCTGGACTGAAAGAACAAATATTGTTAAAATGTCTATACTACCTAAAGCAATCTACACATTTAATGCAATCCCTATCAAAATACCAACACCATTTTTCACAGAGCTAGAACAAACAATTCTAAAATTTGTATGGAACCATAAAAGACCCTGAGTAGCCCAAGCAATCTTGAAAAAGAAAACCAAAGCTGGAGTCACCACAATTCCGGACTTCAAGCTATATTACGAAGCTGTAATCAAGGCAGTATGGTACTGGCACAAAAACAGACCCATAGATCAATGGAACAGAATAGAAAACCCAGAAATGGACCCACAACTATATGGTCAACTAATCTTCAAGAAAGCAGCAAAGAATATCCAATGGAACAAAAGAAAGTCTCTTCAACAAATGGTTGGGAAAATTGGACAGCTACATGCAGAAGAATGAAACTGGACCACTTTCTTACACCATACAAAAAAAAAATAGACTCAAAATGGATGAAAGACTGAAATGTGAAACAGGAATCCATCAAAATCTTAGAGGAGAACACAGGCAGCACCCTCTTTGACCTCAGTCGCTGTAACTTCTTACCAGGTACATCTCTGGAGGCAAGGGAAACAAAAGCAAAAATGAACGGTTGGGACTTCATCAAGAAGCTTCTGCACAGCAAAGGAAACAATCAATAAAACCAAAAGGCAACATGCTGAATTGGAGAACATATTTGCAAATGATATCTGATAAAGGATTAGTATCCAAAATGTATAAAGAATTTATCAAAGTCAACATCCAAAGAACAAATAATCACCAATCAAGAAATGGGCAGAAGACATGAACAGACATTTTTCCAAAGAAGACATCCAGATGGCTAACAGACACATGAAAAGATGTTCAACATCACTCATCATCAGAGAAATACAAATGAGAAGCATGATGAAATACCACATCATACATGTCAGAATGGCTAAAATTAACACAGGAAACAACAGATGTTGGCAAGGATGCAGAGAAGGGAACCCTCTTACGCTGTTGGTGGGAATGCAAGCTGGTGCAGCCACTCTGGAAAACAGTATGGAAGTTCATCAAAAAGTTAAAAATAAAGCTACCCTACAACCCAGCAATTACACTACTAGGTATTTGTCCAAAGGATACAAAAATACTGATTCAAAGGGGCACATGCACCCCGATTTTTTTTTTAAGATTTTATTTATTTGACACAGAGAGACACAGTGAGAGAGGGAACACAAGCAGGGGGAGTGAGAGAGGGAGAAGCAGGCTTCCCACAGAGCAGGGAACCCAATGTGGGGCTCGATCCCAGGATCCTGGGATCATGACCTGAGCCGAAGGCAGACGCTTAATGACTGAGCCACCCAGGCGTCCAACACCCCGATGTTTATAGTACCATTATCAACAATAGCCAAATTATGGAAAAAAGCCCAAATGTTCATTGACTGATGAATGGATAAAGAAGATGTGTATATATATTCAATGGAATACTACTCAGCCATCAAAAAGAATGAAATCTTGAATTTGCAATGACATGGATCAGAGCTAGAATGTATTATGCTAAGCATAGTAAGTCAGTTAGAGAAAGACAAATACCGTATGATTTCACTCATGTGGAATTTAAGAAACAAAACAGATGAATATAGGGGAAGGGGAAAAAAGAGAGGGAGGCAAATCATAAGAGACCCTTAACTGTAGAGAACAAACTGAGGGTTGCTGGAGGGGAGGTGGGCAGTGGATGGGCTAAATATGTGATGGGTATTAAGGAGAGGGCACTTGTGATGAGCACTTGGTGTTGTATGTAAGTGATGAATCACTAAATTCTGCTCCTGAAACCAGTATTACACTATATGTTAACTAACTAGAATTTAAATAAAAACATAAAAGAAAAGACATGATTGGGGCGCCTGGGTGGCTCAGTTGGTTGAGCGACTGCCTTCGGCTCAGGTCATGGTCCTGGAGTCCCGGGATCGAGTCCCGCATCGGGCTCCCTGCTCGGCAGGGGGTCTGCTTCTCCCTCTGCCCTCTTCCCTCTCGTGCTCTCTGTCT